CCCTATAGCAAAAATATATTTAAAAAAAAATTATCCACTCTAAGATTTCTATGTGGAAATTTAAAGGTAGTGGAGAATCGGCCAAATGTGCAGTATGGTATTTCCAAAAAAGGATACCTTCAGAAGCTCATGACATATGGAAAAGAAGGCAGTAAAACGGCCAGCAATACTGGGGCTGCAATTTCTGTAGTTACAACTGCCAACAAATATGGTGCTACACAGAAGTGAATCCTCATTAGTAATGACACCAGGACATGAATGTTATTTTAGGAGTACATTACTATTATTATTATTTTAGGTTTTTGCCTCAGGGTGAATGCACTTGCTGGAGAGAGAGAGAGCGACAGAGACAGAGAAGAAAAGTGAGAAATCACTCCCCAGGAGACATGGCCACGGTGCAGTCCCTTCTCCTTCATTCTCCTCTTAGGATTTTGGGCACATCTGCATACACTCCTGGTGTGATTTTTAAGCTACCAGGTCTGGGACTTGAAACACAGTTGGCCATGTGGTAGTCTAGCGCCTTAGCTACTGCACCACCTGCTGACCCCAAGAGTACATTATTAAGGACACACTGATAAATACCTTTCTTATTCAGGTGGGGGTAGCAGGACCAAGGGAGCTTCACTGGATAAAACAAAAATCCACTAGCAGCAAACAATGATGTAAACAAAGAAACAAAATATACATGCAAACCTACATGCATGTACGCAAACTAAACGGAGAACTTCCCAAAAGCTAAAAACACTGTTGGCAAACCTTCAAAAAGTAGGCAGTAGGGGTTGTTGTCAAGAAGTTACTAGACTTTAAGAAAAAGAAATGGTAAGCACTAAATACATACTGATGGCTTACAGTGAGCCAGGTCCCTACATGCTTTACACACGTCCATTCTCAAGCATCCAGCCTGCTCTGTGAAGGGGAGGGCCTAGTCTTATCCCCATTTTCCACATCAGGAAGTTGAGGCTCAGGCATATAACCGGCCCCAGGTTGTTAGTCCTAGGAAGCAGCAGAACTAGGATCTGAACTCAATGGTCTGGCTCTCGATTTTGTGTTGTAACTACAAAATCAGGGTTCTCAAACTTGAGTGTGCATCATAATCCCTTGGAAAACTTACTGAAAAACAGACTGCTAGGCCCTTTCCCCTAGACTTTATGACTGGCAGGTCTGGAGCAAGACCGGAGAACTGAGTCTCCCAACAATCTCCCAGCGATGCTCTTGGCCACTGGTCTGGGGACTCTACTTGAGAGCCACTGCCTACACAACTGGGGGCAGACACAAATAGGAAAAGAACACTACTCCACATACACGTCATGAAAGCCAAGTTCTGTTGTTGCAGCCATCTGACATATAAGCTCTGCTCACACACATCGTCTCCTTGGGGCATTAAAGCACCACTTCGGGATCGGCAGGGCAAAAATCAAGAGTCCTCATTTCACTGATGAGTAAGCGTCCCCAGGGATACTCTTGGTTAGGAAGTGGCAGAGCACAGACTAGATGCTAGATCATCTGTCTCCTGGCTCGGCACTTTTTCCCTCGTGGGCATATGAGGTGGGCAAGTGGAACATAAGGGGGGAAAACTCATCAAAATGAAGGCTGTTTATTAGAAACAAGTCTTTTTGGAAAATTATATTTAAAAATGATGAAAATAGGGACAGGTGAGTAGGTTTGTTTCAGAGCCATGTTTCTAAGTAGGGAAAAGCTGAGTGGTCACTTATGGCAGCTCAGTCTATTTCTTGCTCCAGCTCTCCAATGAATCAATTTCTCAAAGCAGTGGTTCTCAAAGTTTGGCCCCCAAAGGCGTAGTATCAGCGCTATCCGGGAGCTTATTAGAAACGCAGATTCTAGGGCCCACCTTAAACCTGCCATATCAGAAACTGAGGGTAGGACCCGGCATTCTGTGTTTGAACCATTCCTTTGAGCGATGCCAGTGTACACCAAGTGCACAACCACTGGCTTCGAGAACCGGCCAGCACGTGACTGCTGACAGCGCATTACAGTAGAAAACTGGTTAAATCTAGGGTTAGAGCCTCCTCCCCTGTGCTGTCTGCTGCTATTTGTATGATCTTGATTTGCTACTTAACCTGTATAAGCCTCTATTTCCTCATCTTCCCATCAGGGGAGCTGTTGTAAGGTTCAATATATGGGTTTTTTGTTTTGGTTTTAGTTTTTGA